TGGAAATACCGACCAAGTATTGTTACACAATCTCAGAGAAAAATAATAAAAGGCCAATAGACTGATAGATAAACAACGACAACTGATTTAACTACCTTTTCCATGCACCAGGGTCCTTTCAAAAACAAAACAAAAATGTGCATTGATAGATAATGTAAAATGAGTGTACTACTACAAGTGTTTTGAGTTCAGCTATACACTAACACTGTACAGTATTATAAGGTGCTGAGCCATTTGCCGTTAAACATTTTTTATTAGACTGCATTGACATTCTGTCTACTCGAGAAATTCTAAAATTTTAGTTAATCTGAAAGATATAAGTCTACATCATAGAACATAACTTACCATTTTAATCTTTTGTGGTAATATAACCATTTAAGATTTTTAGCATTTGTCTTTTACCTTTTAGTTTGTTTGATGTTATTTCCTTTTTGGATCAATGTGTGTTTCACCAGTGGATGGCCTTAATGACCTTTTATGTGTTGACGGGCCGTTAAGAAAATAATAATAGTAACATACAGTATTACGTAGACTTGAAAACTATACAATCTTGTGTACTGCAATTAATTAACATAACCAATATACATTGCATGCAGCTGTCTAAAGACAATCATTGGTGGATGAGGAATTCAAAGGGAGACTATTTGTTTCAATGCATTAAAATGTCTCAGATTTGTAAGTTTATTATCAAACTATTTTAAAATATCACGTTTTAGCTATTACAAGTCATCTACAACAATCAATCTTAAAAGAACCCATATTCTACAGAGTGAAGTTCAAGTACACAACATACAAATCTGTACCCAACAGTAGTAGAGAATTCCAACAATCTAAGCACAGGGACTTGGCATCAATCGTCAACCCATGATCCTTATATTATGACTGGGTTGGGAATTGATGCCAAGCATCTATGAATCTGATTAACAAACCATTCTCTACATAACATATAAAAAATGGGGTAATTTTTTTTCTGAACAATGTAATAAAGGAAATGAAAATTATAAGAGAGCTTGCAAAAAACTTGTCATTTAACACCTCTGTTTGGCAGTGAAGCAACATCAGTGATTAGAGTTCTATTAGAAAAAATATTTATAAACCCAGTCTAACAGTGTATTAAAGCTTGATCAAGTTTATGCCTGCCAAATTAATATATATCTTTGTACTGGTAATTCTAAATGAAAAAGTAAGAGTTGGAAACATTAAATTGGTATGTTAAAATATTACAATTTTGAAAATACAACTTCAATTTGTATTTCCGAGCTGATGGTACTAAAGATTTTAATGTCATTAGTTGTCATGGTTTCATATGTAGCTTCACTTTCGATGATTTATTTCACTTTTAATTTTACATCATTGCCACATCAATGCTATTGACATCAAATCTGAAAGTCAGCTGATATGGAAACTATTCTTAATTAAAAAACATTGACGTTTTTATTGTATAAAGTATACAAAGAAATCACTGAAATGTCTACTGTTTGATGGTTTTCTTCTTGACAAGATAAAACAAACAAGAGGCCCATGGGCCTTAACGGTCATCTGACATAAAATACAAGATTTCAAACTTTAAACTTGAGAAGAAGTCGAAAATGTATTTTCAAGATGGAGGCCATGCTGGATTTCAGACCAACCCGAAATCAACAAACTTTGGTCAGGATCATGTCACGATCATTTCAGGTAAGTTTCAGCTCAATGAGACATGCAGAACTTGAGAAGAAGTTGAAAATGTTTATGACGGACGAAGTACGATGGACGCCGGACAAAAGGACAGATGACCTAAAAACTGCAAAAAGTGTGCAAATCGTTCCATCATATCATATATTCTGCATATTTCATGAATTCACCATCCCCATCATTTGTCAACCTTATGATCTATGTTAAAAGTAAAAACAGGCACAGGATCAATATGGGATATTACTTGTTACAACAACTGTAAAACTATCATCATATTAAGACATCTATTGTTATGTCTTGATTTTAGTCTGTATCACAAACAAAAACAAAAAATGCTTTAATTCAAACAAGGCAGTTTCCAAAAACAACAAAAAAAGACAACAAAACAAAGAAAAGAGAAACCAATTAGAAGCTCTACTGCGGCAGTCTTTATATTGTATATATGGAGTGTGACACTGTTGTTAATCAAGCTGGCTTAATACACAACATATGGAAAAAATGTAAATTTAGTTTAAAAATTTAATATATTGTGTACCTAACAAATGCTTGGATAAAGTTGGAATTATTAAAAGTATCTTCAAACATTTGTGAATATACATCAGTATAAATTGACAAGAAGTCTCTGTCATTAGAGAACTACATATTAAAATCTTATGTTTGTTGACATTTACAGATGCATCAAGCAATGATGCCACCATTCTGTTGAACAAATAAACATGTCATTCAAGCTAGAATATTCCCTGCCTTCCACTTTCAATTTTCTAGGTATGGTATACAAAAATCTTTCTAACCTTAAAGTGCAGATAGGTCAGTCAAATTTGGCACCCCCTATATTCCATATTACATCCCTAGTTACATCACTTGTAGTTTCTCGACTTCGCTTATCTTCCTTACCAGCTCTGAACTAATCCTAAGTAGCTGATATGTAAAATAAAGATCAAATTCTTCCCTCAACAAGCATTTGGAAGGATCCCCCCAAGTTGAATCACTTGTGCAATTAATATCCCTGCAGCACTATTCAATTTCTATGATTTGGACTATGTGGTTCTTCTTCACTGAAGAGATGGAGCCTATTTCAGTAAAACTTCGTTGAGCAGGGATTATAACAAAATGACTACTGTATATAACACTACTTGGGGGAAAAATAACCTTCTGTTCCAAATGTTACAGCTATTTAGTATTGGACTAAAACAGATGTGTATGTGTCTATCTATATCAATAAATATATGCATGTTATGTACCTAATATAGAGTAACAGCACTATAAAAATACACATGTAGAACTGTCTATTCCGTAACAAGAGACAGTCACCCGAGTTCAAGAAGCAATGAGTTTTCTCTGAGTGGTCAAATTTCTATCAAAACTAAAACCTGGATGCCAGAACTGATTTGCATAGGGCACTCAGATAAGAGTGGTGACCATAAGGATGTAGTGTTTTGTTTGGTGTTGGAACTAGTTTTTCAAATGGGTATGCCTACAAGTATACCAAAAATTTGTAGTATTGATAACAAATGGCAATCATACTCCTGTAGTGATAACCTCTGTCCTTTGACCTAGTGACCCTTGAAATTGGTCAAAATAATGTTTGCATCAGTCCACACAACATCCAAATGCATACACCTTTACAATAAGTTGGTTTTCGAGAAAATCATCAGTTTCACTTCTTAGTGCTGATGACCTTTAACCTTGTGTAGCAAATCTTTGCATCATTTCCTAAAACTTCTAAATGTATATGCCAGTACCAAATGTGCAAGGTTTTCAAGAAATTTAAATTTCATTGATGTTTCAGTACTTGGCTCCATCCTGAAAATTGACCCACGATACATTCAGAGTCAAAATGTTGCAATTTTGTTCGAGCTACTCATTGAAATTACAACCTAAGCGAACACTTATTTCAATTACGTCTCTCAGAAGAAAAGATTTCTTAAAATAACAAGAATTATTTACTGTTTCGATGCTCATACAGGTATTGATGCTATTGTCCACGTGTGGTATGAATTGGACAAATGGTTCTTAAGAAGAAGCTGAGAATAAGAAAAGTAAATGTACAATGCAAGAGGACAGACAAAAGGAGATAGCAACAGGTCACTATGAGACTTCGTTCAGGTGACCTAAGAATCCAACGGTCATTTTAGAGAAGAAATTGTTAAAATTTTATATTGTTGAAATTACAGAAACACTGCTGGTAGCTACATACAATGTAAATTAAATAGAAAATGCACTTCAAACCATTGTAATAAGCATTCAATACATAATAAAATTACCAGCTATGACAACACTTAGCTAAGATGTACACATCACATGCTCTGGTTTTAACAGAACTTCAATTATTCAAAGTCCAATCATACCAGGTGTATTATATAACACTGCCTGCTTTTTGACACCATGATCAACCAAGAAATAGCAAATGAAGAATTTCGAGTGATGTTAAAGATATACCATCTGTCACTATGATACAATGATTTGGGCCCATCATACACTTTCCAAAGAAAAAGACCAATTGCCTGCCAAAGCCAGATGTGGAGATCTTGAGGAGTTTACCTAGTATCAGGAGACAGAAATAATTTGCATGCACTTTCAATTAGAGTGATCATCACACCTGGAAAGCTATAATCCAAATACTGTATCTTCAATAAAGTAGCTCTATATAATGTTGAAGCTTGACTGGCTAGAAGGAATGCAAAGTTCCATGGAAAAGATTGATTGTGTTCAATTAAAAAATAACAGAAAAAGGCATTGGGATTTTAAAGGTCTACCTCCTTTTTACAAACTTAAATATATTTCTATATAAAGATAAGATAATAACAAACATGTTTATGCATATAAAGCTTCTCTTTTTAAGTATATTGGATAATTTAGCTTATAACCATTTTAAAAAGATTTGCTTTTCTTATTTTTGTGAACAAATATTGTGAATAATAGGAGCCGTATAAAACAGAAATATTCCCTTAAACAGTCTACTACTCTCTCACTCATAAATATTTAAGTTTCATGTAGTCCACTCCCAAGTAATATGTGATTGTGCAACCGCTCTCAACCAAATTGCCAAAAAACATACAAGTACTTTGTATGATTGATAGATATTTTAAAAGTAAGCTAATCTTATATCAATCATAGCAGTTTATAGCAATAAATATTTATTGGATACTGCAATAGGTAGAAAAGATCCCAAAGTCTAGAAAGAATCAAGAAGGAAGTCACTCTTAACATGTATTTTCATATGGTCTAATTTAATATATGAAAAAAGAAAGAAAATAAAGATCAGATAGTAACAAAAATCTTTTTAAACATTTTAAACATGCAAAAACACTTATCACTCTAACATTCTAAACATCAACAAACATATTTTCACTGTTAACAATGGATTCAATGTCTGCTGTTTTTTCTGTTTTTACTATTTTGAGTCTGTCGTGTTCGATCTTGCGAGGGTTGCGACATCCCTTGCACTTGCAGCCTATACATGGTAGTCTGTTGATATAGCATGGACAACGTTGACCGAGACAAGTGAGACGACTATTTGTTCCGCCACGACCACATTTACATGTCTTCAAATCCTTTTGCTCATGATCACTGCTTGGGCCTAGTGTTTGCCTGCGAGTATCTGGCTCTAGCAACTGAGAGTTGTCTCCCCTAGATCCCTGTGATCCAGAGGTGAGAATACTACTTTCAAATAATATAGATCTGTTGCTACAATCAAAATCACTGTCATGTTTTCTTTTAAGTGAACTATCAGGTTTTGAATCAGTACTAGTATCTGTGTCAGTTACATTCACCTCGATTGATTCATCACTTTGTGATGTAGAGTTTAACTGTAATTCTGAATCATGTTCTACTTTGTTACCAGGTGTGCTACAGCATGATACTTCAGGGTTGATATCCAATGTTGATTTGTCTTTAATAATACTACACATTAGTTTTGGTGAGTCCGATTTCTCTGTAGATGAATTATGACTTTGATCGGAACGTTTGACACATTTTGATGGTGACTTCGATTTTGATGAGCGCTTTGGTGATAAATTATGTTTTGTAAGTATGTCCAGGCTTGGTGGTAATGACGAGGATAATGTGAAATCATCCTCAAAGTCTAATGCTTCCTGTAAGATGGCGGTGAGACTGTTTGTTTCTCCATTAGGTGACCGTGCCTGGATGTGTAAATCTGTGCCTATAGGGGAGTCCGATATGTATTCACAGAGTTTCTTGAAACAAATCACTGCTAGTCGAAGCTGAGTATTCTCTTTAAATTCATCGTGATGCTTACACCAACTACACTGGGGTTTCAGCTTCATTTTACCACCTATACAAGCGAAGCAGACGAAATGTTGACATACATTATGCACGGGTCCCATCGGCCTTACGATCAGATTCCGACATACACAACACGATAAGGCCTGGCGAAGAAACGGTAAATATCGGTACAAATCACTCCAAGATTCGCGATCGGCAAAATCTGCCTGCATGACATAGCGACATGTGGTAAGATAGATATTTAGTGCATTCATTTCACTGAATTGTCGTGAATATTATCAACATGTATCTATCTAACCGCATAGTTTTCTATCGAATACTCGCTAAATGAACTTCCAGGTGCGCCATGTGTGTGTACATATTTTGTGACGTCATTATTTTGTGTTGTTTATCTATAGGGGAAATAACTCTTGGCTCGAAAATTCAAGTAGTCTAGTATGGGTCTGTGGTTGGGTTGAGGTAGGCGGGGCAAAAGCTTTGTTCTCAACAATTTATGTTATAGATGATACAATATTACTTTTTTCAGAAACAGTAAGTAGACTTACCTAGTTTGCTTTGTCAGTTCATGAAGATTGAAAGTCTTATGGAATATAGAAATGCTCCTTCCATCCAGACATATTGCATGTACAGATGTGATCAAAACAGGTATGAACTTCACACTGTGACTGCCTCAAACTGAAAACTCCTTGAACAATCATATGGAGTGTAACCCTGGTAAAATACTAGCCGCAATAGTAAGCCAGTGGTCCCGGGTTCGATTCCTAGCGGAGACGTTGAGATGGAAAATAACCTCTGTCACATGGAGGATTTAGAACATCGGTTCATTGTTATATCAGTACATAGTCAACCTTATTCACCTTATCTGACATTTATGTGTGCCCTAGGGCACCCAGGTGAAAACTTACCTGTTACAGGCAGGTATACCCTAATTAGGACAGGCATGGAACCTCCATCTGTATAGTACAGACTACTGATTATGTCACCACAGAATCAATCAAGTTCCCATTACATGGTATTCCATCACACTTTTCTTCACATACGAAAAAATTGATCCAATAAAAATGTAATTAAATTGTAATCACAATTTCACTGTAATCAATTACAATTACTATTACAAGTAATCGAAAATAAATCTTCTGTTACTTAACACTGTCAGTTACGTATTAATTGGTTATTGATTACAATCGATTATGATTACACAATTATAATTACCCCATGTTTGTTGCTTGGGCCTGTAGGGTAGGATATGTTTTTGATTAAAAAATGTTATGTCTGCTAAAATTTAACAAAGCACGTTAGAAAAATGTTGTTAACGGGACTAACTGGTGCTTTTTAAATATGCCCCTGCATCTCACACGGAACTCTTAATGCCACGTAGCCATTTTTGCTTGCCTTGTTCACGCATCTATCAAACCCTGGACGGATGATATTGGTTATCTTGATCAGTTGAGCGTCAGGCTAGTAAACCAGGAGTCCAGGGTTCGATTCCTAGCGGAGGCATTTGATTAATTAACGCCCTAATTAACATAACGAGTTGATGTGTCATACAAATTTGAAGTTGATCTTGGAAATATAAACTTGAATGCTGTATTTAAAACGTTATGGACCCATAAAAATGTATAATATTGTTATGACGTCATTGCGTTAATGAGATGATGAAGATCTTACGCTTATCAGTAATTACATTTTGATGATGTCAGAAAAAGGTGTCGATTTCGAATGAATCACATTTGGTTTCTTGTTTTTGTTTCATCGTCATCTTCGTAGGAATATCTGTCATTGTTCCTTGTAAAAACAACTTGTAGTGACATGGTTGTTTTTTTTAAATGCACTCTGTACTGTTGAAAACAATCACAAAACACGAATCCATACAGGGTTTAGAAACTGTGTAAGCGACGTTGTCATCGCAAGTTCTTTACTTGGACCCTTTAAGATTCATTCGGGATACTGTATCTGTATTAATAAGTCAATCGACTCATTGGTGTACTGTATCTGTATTAATAAGTCAATCGACTCATTGGGGTACTGTATCTGTATTAATAAGTCAATCGACTCATTGGGGTACTGTATCTGTATTAATAAGTCAATCGACTCATTGGTGTACTGTATCTGTATTAATAAGTCAATCGACTCATTGGGGTACTGTATCTGTATTAATAAGTCAATCGACTCATTGGGGTACTGTATCATAAGTATTCAATAAGTCAATCGACTCATTGGGGTACTGTTTCTGTATTAATAAGTCAATCGACTCATTGGGGTACTGTATCTGTATTAATAAGTCAATCGACTCATTGGGGTACTGGTTCTGTATTAATAAGTCAATCGACTTATTGAGACACTGGTTCTGTATGAATACCGGATAATAGTATCTTTTAGCTGTCAAAAATATCACTCTTTACATTCACCTTTCATTGTTTACATGACGGTATTAAATACTAGTTTCCAACATTCTAAAGCAGTCTAAGGAAAACAGACATATCAGACCGGTTATACATGCTGACATGATACATGTATATACATGTATATAAACAGTTGAAGCGTAAAGCGGAATTAGAAACGTGTCTAGAATTGTAATAAAGAAATAGCTGTTTTCTTTTCCCTCTCTCTGAGCTGGAATTTCATTGGAAAATGTTAATTGACGGGGAAAATCCCGTCGAAATTATTTCAATATATGCACCTGTCCTGCAGGTATTTATATAAAGGTAACCTTTTGTGTTTTTATAAGTTCTAACAGGTAAAAAAAAAGACAACCACCTATCATGAATTAGATGACCATTCTTTAGGGAAACATCTGTCATCATCACATGGAATAGATCTATAGAAGTAGTACATGTAAACGAAAAGGGATTTATAAAGGGAGTATTTGTCATTTTTACAAAACTTTCAACATGTGACTTGAAAGGTAAATTTTATAACTTTGCTGCGGTGTTAGGTAACATTGGTTACATCAATATTACGATAGGTTATTTTAAGTAATTTTAATGTGTTGCCTTACATTTTTGGTTTGATACAGGTATATATGTGAGCAGCATTTTAGGTTATGTCTGTGAATTATAGGTGTCCTCCACAGGGCTGGACATCGAAAATGTTTATCTCAATTTTGGTAAGCAACTACTTAAAGTAGGCAAATATTCGTGTAATATCATATATTTTGAACTTGGTCATTTACCTATGTTCAGGTACTGTACATGTGTTAGAAAATATAGAATCATTCAGTGTTGGTTGAAATTACTTGATTCTGAAAACTGAATAAAGCATATAATTCATCTGAAAAAGAAGACAGACACCTGTTTTAGCTGTATTAATTATGTAAATAATCAATTGTTTGATGATGCATGCTTAGGTCAATCAACTTTAAATTTGAAAAGCATATTACCATCTATTCGACAAAGAAGTTTTGACTAAGAACAACACAACTTGAGAGAATTATTGGAGTCTGCATCAAAATGATATTTATACAAGTATATTGTAGAATATTTTTTAGCTCCACAAAATATATCCCCAAGAATGTTAGAATTACTTCAATAAGATTATCTTCACATTCCTTAGCAATACAGACAGACGGGCATCGAAATGTCTATCGAGCTCAAGGATACTGAACAGCTTGTAAATTCAACTACCTACGCCGAGCTTGAATATCATCTCATTTTGATATGTGATACCTAGGAAGCCTACAAAAATTCGAGTCAATTGTGTGAGGCCAATGTACCATAACATTATTAACATAGTTGAGAAAATAGCAAATAAATACATTTGGTAGATAACCATATTATCACATTAAACCAAACCCACTTGTACTAGCAATCGTGTGCACATAAGAGCTGTCTAAATATTGAATACCACACAGAGATATCACTCAGTCTACTCAGTTTTTTTTTATAAAATATGGAGCCTCTACATGTTGTTTTTCATTTACACACTAAGTGCCACAAAGACATTTTGCTTTGAAAAGAATTATAAAATTTGTAATATCTGTAAAAATATAGTTCACTTACCATGTAGTAAACAACAGTTTGGTATTTATCTTTATCTTTTTTTTTTATTTGCGCTACGTATAAATATAATAATCGTCATTCATTAGACCTTATACGCCCTGACGGAACAGCTCAACAACTCCCGGATTTGCAAAATACGAGTGCAGTTGATGGAACCATTATTATCAACACAGCCACTATGACTCTTCGTTTATTCTTTCATGCTTAAAATCATGGACCAATAATTCAATGACAAAAATATTTATTATTTGAGCCATTTTCAGCGTAAACATATTTCATTGTCATATTAGACTGTCTAAAGGATTGGTCAGTGAGTTTTACAATCTTATATGTGACCTTTCCCTACAGACAGATATACAAATGTGAAAGAACATTAGTCACACGATTAAACATTAGAATGAGAAATATGGCTAAGATTAGACAATCATTTCTTTTCATGATTAGTACTACATATAGCTTAATTAGCTATAGATTATAGATTTATGAGAGAGAGAGAGAGAAGGGTGGGGGGAGAGAGGGGGGTGGGGGAGGAGTGAGTAAGAGAGAGAGAGAGAGAGAGAGAGGGGTGGGGGCGTCCTTGTCAGGATTGCTCACGGATGCTTTTGATTATTTTATTCGTTTTTCATTTTATCTGCATCATTGTTCACTTTTTTTATAGCGTTAGTCTCATTTTATGCTGATATTGTTGTTGGGATCACTATACTTATATATAAAAAGAAATATTTCACATTGTATCTATATTGATCTAATAACAATCAATAGAATAGACTATTGTTTTAAAGATCCTAAAATAATGTTGTGAATAATATCGCTGTGTATCTACTCAAACTACCCATAATTAAAAAGAAATTTTACGTTTAAAAATGACGATATCCGAACCATCTAGATCTCTTAATTTTATAGATCTAACCAAATGCCAGTGTGACACACTATGAACTATTAACTATAACTATCTGTCGTCTATACCAATCCTTCCTCTCTTTACACCTGTTTACTTTGCTGTTCAGAAGTCACTTGCGTTAAGGTTATGGGAATTGTGTTTATATTAATAATAAAACTGGCTATGTAACCACTATCCTTTTCTATATCGATTTTTTGCTGTTGATTTTCGACATGAGAGATTCATCTTAGATGCAATCATTGTCTTTCCATGTGGAACTCGGACAATTTTACTCCGAAAAAAATATGTGGAACTCGGACAATTTTACTCCGAAAAAAATATGTGGAGCTCGGAAGATGTGAATTTTCTTGGTATGCGGTCACCGTTGGAAAATATTGTGTATACTGTGAATGTCGGCTACTTCAGTTTACTCCTAATTCAAAACGTTTTGATCGGTAATTAAACAGTATGGTAGAATGAAAATATAAAAGAATAATTGTAGTATTGAAACAAAATCAAAAGTTTGAGAATTTGAAATCTCGGGTGTAGTTTCCAGTCTTTAAAGACAGGATGCCAGCTGAAGTTTCACTAAAATTAAAAATGATATTATGTATACGTACCTACATGCACACAATATTTACAGCATATTAATTTCATAGTATGTTAAGCCCAGTCCAATGACTTTTGTTGTTAGCAAAGATAATTTATCATTGACTGGAAAATTTCTCTGAAGTTTCTGAAATTCAACATAACAGTGACTAAAGATGGTTTTTGCTAGCCTCTGCAATAGATTGTAAATATTTGAAATTGAAGTTACTAAATCTTCTTTTGGATATCAGTCTTCTCATGAAATTAAATCACAGATAATATGTACATGTACCAATAGACGCCATTCCTCCACTCTTGGACTTTGTAAGCTATTAACCACTTTGATATTTGTGTCGCAATAAAATATGCTGAAATCAGATCTGGGTATTGTTTTGATACTTTTTACAAAAAGAATCGAATTTTATAGCGAGAAACACGACAGTTTAATTTGAATGGTTGTTTCATGAATGCTATTATATTGAGAGATATATATACTGAACATCTATACTGTTAAACAATATACTGATATACTCACTCTTACAGTTTACGCACTTTCAGTATATTATTTAACAATTTATATAATATTTTGATCATGTGAAGGAACCGTCTGGCAATCAGCACAGTGATATATCCTGGCACTATTCCTCGCTAGTGACTTACCGACATGTAATGAGATATTAAGTACAAAATCAGACGAAACAAGATTTGATCGCTCTATAATCGCCTATAGCTATGTAAATAAAGTTTTCGTAAGATGGAATTGTATAAAAGTTGGGGTTTAAATATGAATATTGAAATTAGCAAAATATGCAGATAAAAACAAGAAAATAAAATGTACTGTACCTTTCATTCTCATCCAATGTCATGAAATATATGAAAAAAATGAAGGACAAATATATGTGCATACTGATGATACACGCAAATCTTTCAAAATGTACTTTAAGACCGGTCTCCTGCTACACTGAACCACGTTTTCTAGATTCAGATTTGTAATGAAAATACTACCACTAAGGTATCATACAGATCTAACATCAGAACGCAGAATGGACCTTTCGTCAAGTTTGACTTTTCCCTTTAAGTGAAAGTTACATTGAAGGACTTTAGAGAATGGTTTTCTACCTTTTTTATAATTCATACTTTAAATGACAAAGACTGATTTGCGTAATACAGTTTATATTACGACAGTTATCTGTTATAAGATCTATTTTCCTTAATGTAGATTGGCCATGTTTCAAACACGAAGTCTCTCGTTCCACACTCCTGCCGGGCGATCAAACTCCACGTTAGTTCTTTGCGTAGTTTGTATTGAGATAACGGATTAAAAGAATTTCACGGATGGTATTATAGTTTAATATGTACCACAATATCCAACGTAATGAAGTACGATTCTCTCAAAACCATCGTGAGACTGTGCTTAAATTTTACATTAGAGTCGACATTAGAGCTACTGCTGCTTAGATTTAAATATGATAAAAGTAAATACTTTTCAAATTATTAGAATATTAATCTACTAAAACTAAGACCAAATTAAAATGTAATAAAAACTTTATCATGTATTGACGAGACATAACAAGAATAGCATCGCTAAGGCAAGATGTTTCACTTGTGTGTGGTTCTTCCGCTTAATCAACGACATTCAATATGTTTATCTAGAGTCACTTCCTACAATGTCCCTTTTCTGAAAAGTAAAAACACACATGTAAGGTGTTGTATCGATAATAACCCGTTTTGAAATAAACAATGCTGAATTCTCAATAAATTCTGACTACCCTATCCCAGCTCTTGACAACGTCCATACGATTGTATTGAAGACGGTAGACTAAACCACCGAAAAATATCCTATCTCTTGTTGAATTGTGAACATTTTAGTACATATAGTGTGTATAATTAACATATCTGAATATGAAGCAAACATGACGTTTTAGAACCAGGATAGTGTGTCTCTACAAGTAGGATACTAACTATTTTAGTAAATAGAAGTAAAACAAAAACACATCATTCCATATTTCACAATGTGTGGTCGATTCATGCCGTCTTCTCTAGTCATTTCATGTTTTAATGAAAAAAAAGTGGAATTATTTCTCGTAGAAAATTATAATTCCTATCGAAATATGGTGAATAACTACGCTAGTTAAAATTAATAATCTAGTTTTCCTGATATTCAGTTAGCTGTATGTAAGTGAACTTTACATTTCGGTCATCGTGACAGAATCATCACGAGGTCATGCTACTAGTGACAGATGTCTATCCCACAGACTTGTATTAGTAATTTCACAAGTAACCCTCTCCTGTTCAGCATAAACACAGGACAAATTAAGTGTTATTCAATCTGTTTAATTACTTTGGCGATAAGCCAATCTCACCGTTTTAGAACACCAATATTAGAATAGTGATGGATAACTCGTTAACGGCACTGACAAGAAAGAACCAAAAGACAAATATTTGACCCGTCTATTTATCTAGCCTATTCACACATGATAAAAACCAATAAATAGACCATGTTTAACACTCGAGGTTTGGGGATGAACTACAGAACAGTGACCCCAAAAAAGATGTACCTGTTTGTATAAGTCTTCACTCCTTCAGTAGGCCATTAAGATTAGTTTTGGTAATGGGGTCACTTTGACTACCTGACCTACTAAAATCATTCAGAAATACAAACTTGAATAGGCCTGCATTCTTTGTCCAGTAAATCACGTTCGAGATTTATCTTAACCTTGTGTTTATGCCAGATAATATAAAAATACACTGTTCGATCTTTGCAATATTTCAGTTAATTTTTTTTTCGTCGACATTTGACTATTCCATTAAAAGACTCGGGATGCTAGTGTTTCTCTGTACACACTGCATGAGGAATAATAATAATTGAATTACGTTGATAATGAACAAAACATTTAACGCCTTGACGGTGCTGGTAACGACTGACATTTCCCTACACTTTGTGACAATGAATCACAATATGTTATTGTTGATTTCAATCGAAGTAAAACTCTTATTACCACGGACCCGTATTTCTCGAGCATCCCTTTTGGAAACGACTGTGTCATGTTGTTTCAACCTCGGATTATGTCCTCATTATATTTTTTTTCTATTCGAAAAAATCTATATATCACGCATTGTTGACATTTTCACCTGGTAACAATTAAAGATTACAAATAAATTCTTTGCAAATGCCTGTAGTTGATGGGTTCAAGGAAAACCTCCATACTTTGTGGTCTAAACTATAGCCTGACTACATGTAGTCGAATACATCATACTTCTCGAACTGTTGAAATGACTCCAAGGAATGAAAGGAAAATATCTTAGTTATTAGTAATCTCGTAAACACAATCATATTTAGAACAAGATGTGTGTATGAAACACTATGCCCCCGGTTGCAATAAAATTAAAATCAAATGGTCAACAAGGTCTTGTCACAAGGAACAACCATTCCAAATATGAAAACAATACCTCGTATGGTGCAGTAAGTACGGCCAATAAAACGATTTTTCAAATGTAGGTCAAATTTCACGGTCAAGGTAAAATGGTCAAACATTTATTACCGATATTGTCACAAGGAGCACTCATACCAAATATGAAAATCCTACCTCTTACTGCAAAAGTTATGGGGGGTTAAATTTGACAACATAAAAACAAACAAATAAACAGCAGCACAAAACAATATGCCCAACGATCCTTCAATCCGGGAGCATGAAAAATATTGTATAAATGACAAAACGTTGACAGGCAAATTTCAATATAAATTTGCAAGTATATAGAGCATAGCAAAACACTGCATCACACAATGAGATAAATGACACCACCAGATGGGTTTGCAATACATTTGGAAATGTTACACATGCCATTCGCAACACTAGTTTTGTGGTATCGTATAGCAACAGAATATGGACGCGTAAAATTAAAAATTTAGTTTTCACAATTTTCAAGCTATATTGTTTTATGCAGTTATTTGCAGATAAAAAAAATGGCAATGAAGGAATTAGCGTGATATTAAGAAATCGCACACCGGTACATAGCATGAATTTACCTGTCCAGGGTTAGAGACAAAGACATCTCACACCGGTACATAGCATGAATTTACCTGTCCAGGGTTAGAGACAAGGGAAATCTCATACCGGTACATAGCATGAATTTACCTGTCCAGGGTTAGAGACAAAGACATCTCACACCGGTACATAGCATGGATTTACCTGTCCAGGGTTAGAGACAAGGGAAATCTCACACCGGTACATGGCATGGATTTACCTTTCCAGGATGAGAGACAAGGGAAATCTCACACCGGTAAATAGCATGGATTTACCTGTCCAGGGTTAGAGACAAGGGAATCTCACACCGGTAAATAGCATGGATTTACCTTTCCAGGATGAGAGACAAGGGAAATCTCACACCGGTAAATAGCATGGATTTACCTTTCCAGGATGAGAGACAAGGGAAATCTCACACCGGTAAATAGCATGGATTTACCTTTCCAGGAATGAGAGACAAGGGAAATCTCACACCGATAAATCGCAGGAATTTAACTATCAAGGATAAGAGACTAGGAAAAATCTCACACCGATAAAAAGGGTGGATTTACCTGTCAAGAGGGCAATTAATTCACGGTATTAGTGACATTTCCGAGGGAATACAACAAACACAAACACATTTTTAAAGATATTATCAAGTATTTTCCTTTAGAAGTACGGCGTAATGAATATGATACTGGGACTGCAGAGTGTTATTTTTCATTTTTGCTATTAAAGCATTATATATAATTTTTATAACATTTCTTCTGATAGAAATAAGGAATTTATATTAAATTGATAAATATTTTATATATAGTGATAACATGAAAAATTATAAATCAATTATCATACAACTTTTTTAGTGATAATTTGAGTTATAACCAACCAGAGCGGTGTTTTCAAGTCACTGCTGTGCACTTCTGGTTTTCTCTTAATTGGTATTAATTTCAATGTCAAAAATATGACATAGTCTATCTTTTCACTTGAGATTAGCATTTATAAGAAAAATATAAAGATATTCTGTTATACGCGTGAATTATATACAATATGTAACGGAACACTATTAACTATCCTTAATAATTTGTGTTTAAAACATGTATTTCCACATGTGTTTCTTAGACAATTAACTAGGAAGCCTTAACATCCACACAAATCAGCATTCGGCACCATGTCATTGAACCACAGCAATCGATTTATTGACTAGTTATAGCTTAGATCGTATTTATGGAATATAAAAAAAATCGTAATTGTTTTATCAGATTTTAACTGAAATAATATAATAGTATGTAGACAAAGCCGTGACCATTATTTCTACCTTAACAGTGCTCCAGCATCACTAGTGTAAACCAGGATTTTATTTCATCATTACTTAATCGTCATATTAATATTGATATTCCTGTGTTTATAATAAATGAAAAAAATCAATTATGTTACTCATTTCCTTTCTTGATTTCGGGGGAAAAAATCGCCGTAAATTAAAGTTTTTTATCAAGTCTCCCTACTGCAACCAAATATTACATCAGCTTTATGAAGATTGTCTTGACAGCAATCTTATCAGAGTTTTGAATTTATCTAAGCAACAATTGTCATTCTAAGATCGATTTATTCAGCGGAATTATGTTAACTTTAATCCCTAATCCCTAATGATATCTTATTCACAAATGTGATATAAAGATAATTCCTTGATCCCTAACTGCAAATATAACTAGAAGAAATGCCTGCAAAATACACAAGTTTTACCGACGAGTCTTTTGGTTTTAATGCCACGAAAATAATATACATATATATGTGTTTTCTTATTGTAGTGTGTAAAACGCTAACATTCACTAATAATTTTACAGAGATTATACAAAATCATCATTGTTTACATTAAAACATTATTTAAATCACGGTAGCCATCACTTTGTGGTGTATATTTGTTCACAATATGCCATCACTTCACATCTTACCTGATTTTAAAACTTAAGTCCACAAAGATGTACAGAAGACACACAAGTGGGTAGCTCCCACAAAGCTACCCTGCCTAATCATCAATAGATTTAATATCACCTAGAATAAACGTAAGTCACAGAGATAACTTTCTATTGTAGATTCGTAACTATATGTGCCACAACATTGCTCAATAAATCAACTCTCATCACCATCATTATGTCCATTCGTATAAATTAGACAAATGGGGTCACGCTGTTTTATTTCAAGACGCCATTACAGAGCAAGGTATAGGTTTATCATACTAATAGCTGATTGGTGATGCATAATTATGTTGCTTGATCACATGATCTACCGATACTCGACTCTTTTAGGGATACGAACTAGCGGTAAACATATTATTACAGATAAAATTAATGTGTATGGGATTGAAATATTCTTGTTCCATGGTTATTGATCATGAAGGTAAGTTTTTATTATGTTTTATTTCTATAACAATTTTACAGTACACTTCCAATGCAATTTAGTGATGTAATATCTTATTATGCTGTTGCTAGGGTTGAGGACAATGTTTATCAGTTTGTAAATTCTAGAACATCATTTTTATTTCAGAATATAATTTTTTTTATTATCTTTTAATTCGATTCAAAATGTAAAACCTTTACAAATATGATTTTGTATCTTAAATATAATATACATGTACATAACACAGTTACATTTCTTAGATTCGTCAAATTTTGACTGGATCAGCGTTTTGCTATTTTTTTTTTATTACTTTCACTCCCAACAATAATATATGGATTCGTCGATTTTTGTAGGGATTTCCCCCAACCCCTATCCAACCCCACTTTTTTTGTCTCCGAACGATAAGGGGGATATATAATTTTTGTTACAATATACTCTTGTTCTTTTTATTGTTCCATATTCCTTTTGTTTTCTCCTGTAAAATTATTCACGAAAAATAAAGAATGAACAATTTCACATGAGTTCCTTTCCCTACAGAGCAAAACACTTAAATTCAACCATCTAAGCAGTCAAAACATAATATGTTCATATTTCGATTAAATCAAATATGATCTATTATGACGCGCAACCACACCTTCCCCACGAGATAAAGAAGCAGGTGACCCAAGTTTTTCTTCCAATCACGGAATCCATTTCCGGTCCCGAGGCAAAAGTAGTGGTCATATTATTTATCTCACCTTTGACGAAAAAAAGTAAACACTAAAGCGTTAGAAAGAATATCAAGGTGATTTCTCAATATTAGTAAATTGTTTTATGCATTATCACGATTGTGTTACAAATAAACTGTCGACACACAAAGTCCATCAAATGCAGTGTAGATAAAAACATATCTATCCTCAGCTAATTTTCAAATATTGCATGCGAAACATGAGAAATGTTAAAAATGTGTCAGCTGTCTGCAGCGAGAGGTATGTTATTCCTGTTATGGTCCTACTTAAGCAGTAGCATTTTGGTATTTGAGTGGCTTTGCGGGATCTTGAATTATGTAGAGATCACATTAAAATACCTTTGTTGTTTTAAAGCAATGCATACAATATGTTACTCTTTTTGCTATTTGTAAAACGAGTCTCAGTACTTATTTATTTTAATAATCAAAATGGAAAATAGAACAAAATCGTGGATTCCTTATATTTACATCAAATGATATGACAATAATGTATTTTTCTTCTCATTTCATAATTTTCGTTATTTTATATTTTTAATCCGTTGGTGAAAACAAAATTTCATAAGACTTATTTAAAATACGAATATGAAATATTGTCACTCTATCACTCCTTCTGTGATGACTTTAGACACGAAATCCATAATAAAAACAACTAGAAAATACCAACATGTGAACAATCAATTCAAATTCAATAAAATAGGGAAAATATGATCAAAAGAAACATCTACACGGACACTCATAAAAAGAACGAGAATAATAACACCAGGTTTTCCGGAAGTGAATGTGTCCTCTGCTTCATCGGCGACACCAGTCATGTAAGTCCAAATATGTAATGTCACGTTCTAGAAATAAGAACAAGGAATACAACAACGTTAACTAACCAGCATAAAAAAACGCCCAGCTTCATGTCGAGCAAAGAAATAGGATTTTTCGCAGTGTGATCACTATTATCACCCGTAAACCTCCCGAAAGATTTTATCAACCTGCATTTTTTGAAACCCAGTGTCATGTATTTGTCCGACAATTGACGCCATCTTACATATCGTGAGGTGTGGGCATCCCCATTGAACTTATTGGGAACATCAGCCAATCATTCCAACGGAAAACGTGTAAAAACAAAAACAAAAACAAAAAAAAAACAAAAATGAAAAAAGAAATAACACAATTTTCCTTAAATGATTAATTAATCAATTAATTAAACTTTATTTGTTTTGCAACCATTGGTGACTTACTGTGGAAGGAAATTTCGGCATGCGTGAAAAACGGATGGTCGGACAGGCTTTTCACGTCAGTTCCGCAAATCTAATCACTGACGCTTTGCTGCTAAAAGACGAGTGCGTTACCAGCCGATCACCCTAAAGACATGTTCATCAATTACTAAACGTGTTATTATTGTTATTTTCCTTACAAATACTATTATATATAGTTTTTTCCTGCTCCGTGTTGTTGGTTGATAGCTATGTGTTATAAAATATTATCAATAGAAGACTGCTAAAATCACGTGAGCTACAACAGACATTTATGTTTGTCTTTTAGTTATCTCTTACCCAGGACAAAGTTGCATTATGCATTTGTGATTACAACGAACTTACCTAGTTATTCAGATTAGAAAAAAAAAAAGAAAAGTAATTCAGAGCAAGCTCAAGAATTCGACTTTGCCCCAATACTTGTCATAATCTAATGATGTCTTTACATAATGCAAAGAAATGCTATTCAACACTCGAACATTTCGTCCTTAAAACGTAATTAAAGCATTGGACATTTTTCAAGAGCACAATATCGCAACGTCTCCACAGCAAGAAAAAAGACCAAATCGATTTCTAAAAAATACAGCAGATTCATATTTGGGTTTCTGTTCTTACGCCAATCAATATCATGTAAGCTGAGACATATGGGATTCCCTCTATTTACTGTGTCAACATAACAACTACGAGTGGGCAGGACTATCTGTACATAGTGTTTTTAGAAATTAGATTTGTTCATTCCTCATTCACGAAATCTAAGATGACACTGTCAATACGCTTTTGAAATCCCGTGTCTATATTCCAGTACTGTCAGTAAAACGAAACCTTATGAGAAGTGTTTGTATATATCACTCCCAGACACCAAAGAAGTGGCAAAAGCGAATCACTAAAAGTGAGTGTATGTATATTTATTTGATAAGAAATACAATCTTGGCAAATTGTAACATATTGTTCGACAGCCCACACATTATTGTTAGTCATGAGGACATACATGCAGAAAATAAAAAATGTTGTTTTCTCTCATTCCATGCAAAGAAACTACATATTGATATTCATGGCCAGACAGACACCACTGTTAG